TTTAAGAAATGCTTCATGTAAATAAAGTATTGCAAATAGAGTTCGGTTGTAAACATTGTTGTAACATTTTGATCTTTATTGTTTAATGTATGCTTAACATATCTTATTTACAATTTAACAAATGTAATATATTACATAGTTGTGTATACTATTTAATCTGACATTTTCATTATGTGAAATATAAATTTTCAAAAACTGGTTTGTTTTCATGACTCATAGAGAATTTCATTCCTTTCATGATGAATAATATTCTTTATTTTTAGAATAAAAATAGTAGTCGCTGAAAGAAGAAAGGGCCATTTGAGTCTGGGAAGGGAACTATACCCGAGAAAGTAAAAAATAATTTGTTTTTCGACTCAAAATGTTAGTTCATAAAATTGAATGCGGGTAATGCCTTTTTCCTTGACAATTACCTCTTGGTTAGAAGAATGGTGTGTATTATTAGGGGCTTGGTGATGAAAGGGTTAAATAGGGGGATAATAAATAGATGGCAGAAGGAAAAATAATTAATAATTGTATGTAGGTAGCTCATATTTCATTATAATCGAAGATCTTGATAGTGAAAAAAAATTATTCTGCATAAAATGTAAAGCATTTGCAATGCCATAAGGAAGACACTATAACCTCAGCAGGTACATATATATATAAGATTAATTTATAAATCCAGATGATAGAAATAGAAAGAAAACTAAACTAAACTGACTAAACTAAACTTAACTGCTGTATGTTTATACTAAAAACTATGTTATCAGTCTATATAAATGTTATTGTGTTCTATGCTCTCTGTTTAATTTCGGTTGTCAATATTTTTAAAATAAACAGTCTGTGTTGTCTGAGACTTGGTTGAACATGTTTCTTGTATGATTGTAATAATAATTAAATTATTAATTTAAAGTTAAAGTGTGTTTTTTGTGATTTAGGTAAGTAAAAAATAATTATTTTTATTTTAAGGCAAAGTGTTGGGCATAATTCTAAACAAATATTTGTTAAATACATTTTCAACACATTGTGATATTGATTTTAGTCCAAAACAAATTTTAATACATACATTTGTTGCTTGAATTAAATTGTTATATTAATTAAATTGTTATATTATTATATTGTCTAGGGTTTGAGGTTAGAAATGTCAAACGTCAAAATTGACGACGGTTGTTTTCAGGTTAAAAATGTCTGTTGTGACAGCTTTATTTTCAAATGTGTTTTAAAATTGTTAATTAATATAATAAATATTTTAAGTTTAAGTTTAAATTAAGTGGAATAGCTCAGATTTAGTACAATTTTTCTTACTTTTTTAAAACTATTCAAAATCAGAAATATTTCAAAAGAGATAACAAGGAAATAAGTTTTTGAAAATTTTTTCTGAAAACAAATATTAGTGTAATGATTTTTATGTTAAGAATAGTTAATATAAGTTGTTATTTTCAATATTTACATCATAAATGGGTCAAAAAATATATATGCTCTTTTGAATCATAAGTGCCAATAATTAAGGGGGTCTTCCTATGTGACGGCCTGTTTTTTAGGGATATTTTAGGATTTTTTTTCTACGACCAGTAAATATTTAGAGCTTCAAGTTTTTTATCATTTATTAACACATATTTGGACAGTATAAATATAAAATTTCAGCTAAAAATATACAGTCAAACTAGAGTTACAGCGCTCTGAACACCCCCGCCTCGAAAAAAAGAGCTTCCACTTCCTCCACGATTCCGGCTGATCGGCTTATCTGAAAAAAATAAAAAATAAACGGCGTTTTAATTTGTAGGCTTAAAAGCACGGAATGACCTATAATCAAATGAATATAAAAAAAATTGGATTTTTGATAGACATGTGAAATAAAAGTTGCAAATTAGGCGTTTTTTTTTTGTTTTTTGCTATAAAAAAATCGAAGTTTTGAAAATTTTGAATGATAATAGTTCATTCCATGCGTTTAAATATATTGAGTGTGCCCTGTAAATTTCAAGTAATTCGGTCCAGCCGTTTCTGAGATACAATGGAGGAAAGTTTGAAAAACACAGTTTTGAGAAAAACGCGTTTAAAGTTTCAAGTCCGTTAAAAACTATAAAATATCCCTGAAAAATACCTGCTGTATCTTTAAAACGACTTCGAATTTTCTAAAATCGCTTTACTACCGTATTTTAGACATATTAAGGGAGCAATTTAGAAAAAATATCGATTTTTTCAACCCATCACATAGGAAGGCCCCCTTAAATTTAATTGATCAAATAAAAATTATTTGTTTGTCTAATGTTACTGACATCTTTAGGAAGTTTGCACAAAATTAAATTACCTATATTTTTTTTAAACACTCGATACTTTTACAGTAACGCTATATGCTTTAAAACGTCATTCTTAGCGACAATATTAGAATTAGGGTTTATACAAAAACCGACATTTCAGAAAACCAGTTTTCGAATTTTAATTTTACTAAAAAACCGGTTTAAGCCGGTTTTCGAATTTTATATATAAAATAAATTTTTACTCGAATATTCTGTAATTTATCCGCAAACTTAGTGTAATTTTGAGCAGTATTTGACTGAATTTATTTATTTTTCAACTTTATAGATAGTAAACAAAATTATTTTAATTTTAATTAGTAGAACTAAAAAATAATAGTTTATCTTGATTAAATAACTTTGAAAATAATTATCCGTTATTCATGCATCATTTTCACATATAAGGATAAAAATATGTTTGATAGTAAAAGGAAAGTTTTCGAATAAATAAAAATAATACATTTTGCATTAAATAAAAAAAAGTCATCAAATTAAAGAAAATAGATACATGTTGATACATACTTGTTAATAACAATTTTAGTTTTAAAAATAATTAAGTTAAACTCGGGTATTGTCTGTTCCGAACAATTTTAATTAATTAATTTTAAACATTCTAATTGTTTTTTTGTTTAATAAAAAATTATTTCAAAAAACTGAGAACGTCTACCGAATTGCTACTTAGACATGACCTTTATTGTTTCTAACAAAATTGTCTGAAATAGAAAATACTCTCGTACTTGCGACCAAATTATGCTTAATTGTTTTTAAAGCCTGATATAATTATTCTAAGTTTTTTGTCCTTTGATTTGTGGCTTCTGGGGTTTAAAACTCTTTTTTTGAAGTTTGAGTAGAGGAAGTTACTTCTTCAAGAATAAGTCATACTGAATTAAATTAATATATACACTGGTATAAAAATCTAAATATATACAAAACCTTTCTGGGAACCATTGCATATTGATAAGATATCAAATGCTATTGAAACGATACGATTCCAAGAATCAAAATGCTTTCGTCTATCTTTTATATTTGGCTATATTTGTCATTTTCCATTTATACAGTGAAAACCGACTTTTTTCACTAAAAAAACGGTTTTCCAATTCCATAATTTTTGCCTAAAACCGGTTTTTGAAAACCGACAAACCCTAATTAGAATACCCCGTGTTCATACTCACGAATATCAAGGAAAAAGCACCCCTTTTCAGTTAGATAGGGAGAAACTAGATAAAATTTACTACGATTTCATGCCAACAGCTATATACACTCCGGGACATTTTTTTAACATTTTTGTCAAATAACTTGGAAATATAATTCTAGACATTCAAATTTTGTTATATTAGCTTAAACTAGATAAAATTTACTAACAAATAGCATAAATTGTTATATATAGCTGTATATCAAAATTTTGAATAATTTTTATTTGAAACGCAATATGTAGATTTGGGACTTTTTTTTACTTTTCTTCAAATAACTTTTAATTTTCTTTTCGGACACGTTAATTTATTAACATTAGTAAAAAATAAATAAAATATAGAAATAATTACTAAACCATATTAAAACCAAAGACTGTTATTCATGCTTTTTTAAAACTACAGTGGTGATATCAAATTATTCGATTATAATGGATGATTTATTTGAAGTTGAATCTTTTAAGAGCTTTTTTTAAACTTTGGAAATGATATCAAGTTATTCGATTAAAATAAATGATGTAACTATTCGGCTGTACTTACCTACAAACTATCCACGGTTTTTTCACTAAGTTTTTGTGGTTTTAGTTTCAAATAAAATATTTAAAGCTTACTTATTGTTACTAGTCTGGTATTAAGTAACAAATAATCTTATTTTAAATGTATATCCTTAGAAAAAATATTTATTCTTATTACAGGTACTTATGCACTTATAGGAACAGGAACCATAAAATATGGGTCTCCCCTATACTAAAAGAAATTTATCATCAAGAACTTATTGAACAAAATTTTTGGATGATTTTTTATTACACCAAGGACGAAATTATCCTATTTGATGAGCTTTCAGGGCGTGTACCACTGGAAAACAACAAAAACTTTGGTTGCAACATCGGATTTTAACAAAAAAATTGATTTGTTTTCGCTATTTTGGAAATATTTTGACTGATTCCAAAAGATTTTCGGACGCTGATTTCAAAAATGCTATCTATTTTTGGATAAACCCACATACACCCCGCGAAAATCGAAATCTTTGTTGCAAAATCGATTTTTTTTTTAAAAAAATCCTCTTTTTTTCGCTTTTATCAAAATGTTTTGATTGGTTTTGATTGATTTTGGGACGCTGATTTTAAAAATATTATCCATTTATGGATAAATCCACATACACCCCCAAAAAATCGAAATCTTTGGTTGCAAAATCAAAATTTTACTAATGAAATGAACATTTTTTTCGCGATTTTCAAAATGTTTTGACCGATTCTGATAGTTTTCGAGGCACTGATACCAAATATGGAATCAGTTTTTGGAAAAAAAAAAAATTCTGCCCCTGTGACCAATTTGAAGTTTGAAAAATCGCCAACTTTGAAGCTGATTTTAACTATGAAGACGACGATAAATTTGTAATTTTTTTGGTTTGGTATAAAGATTGTACTTTAGTCTACACAATGCATTCATTAAAATTATCAATTTCATTCATTAACGGCCTTAAAATTGCATTTGAAAGTCACGATTTTTGGCCAATTTTGGCTGCCCCTGATAAACCGGTTTTTTATCGGAAAAATAATAAGAATTTTAAATTACACCAAAGTAGGTTTGGTTTACTGCTAACCAGGCGTGAATATGAATTTATTAAAAATTATCCTCCTCCTACTATTTCTTATCTTTTATATATTTATATATATATATATATATATATATATATATATATACACGCATGTATATATATATATATATATATATATATATATACACATGCGTATAGATACATTTATATTTATATATATGCACATATATATTATGTCGATTTTTGTAATACTGACACTCAATAAATTCAATTCTATCTATATGGCTTATTTATTTACACAGTTAGAAAAATTATTGGTTCTAAATTTTTTTTCAGATAAATGGGGTTCGAACTGGCGAACCTCGATTTGATATTCTGGCCTAAACCGTATCTTTACGACCTCAGCCATTCGCACATTTGACACACAACATTTTTAGGAAACTTATATCTTTCATTTTAAAAATAAGACTATATTTTTACAAATAGCCGAGGGTTCTGTATAACCAATTGGCCGAGATCGTTGAGTGACCACTACGGTAGCTCAGTGTTTCTCGGTTCAAATCCCGAAGATGCTTGAAAAATCGAATGCGTAGTTTTTCATAATTATCAAATATTAGTTCAAAATATTGAATTCAGGTGTCGCATTTCGACCTTGACACTTAGTATATTTCTGAAAAACAAAAAACTCGAGTTCGCACTTGACTGTAAGAGAGATACGTAAAGAGAGAGATGACGAAAATAGAGGGAGGAAATAACTGGGGAAAGAGAGGGGTAGAGGCAGATGATGAATAAGAGAGATGTGTATGATACATATTCTTTATTAAAATTCAATATTAATACAATATAGGAATAAAAATAACTTTTATCATCAATAACTCAGATAGCCGAGTGGTTTAAGGGACCGCATACTCGGTGAAATCACTCTGGAGGCACAAGGTGAGACGGATCGAGTCCAACTGAAGGCAACGACGACCAACTCTGAAGCAGAAAAAATGGAGCAGTGCTGGTGAGTGGCTGTTGGCAGGCGCAGAGGAAGGTCCTGAAACGAACACACGAAGTGATGGTCAACCTGAGGTCCGTGATGCGAGAGATTACACGCCGAGAGACACATTGCGGAAGATGCATGCCGAACCCAAAAATCTACCCAAGAACCACAACATGCGAGAAAAAAAACAACACCAAAAAAGGAAAAAAAATGTGAAAAAAGCGGAAAAAAAAGGAAATAAAAAGGGAAAAAGGAAGGAAGAGGAGGAGGAAGGGAAGGGAAAAACCAAAAAAAAACCCCTAAGTCCCAGATCAATTTTTCTCTTTTCTGTTCAGCGTTGAAACTTTTTTATGTTTTTTAGTGTTCCCTCACACCAATTCCCAAAACCAACACTCGAATGAAATGAAGTCCACGTTGAAATTTTCACAACGAGAAAAAATTACTGGGACTTAGTTGAAATATTTAACTTTGCCCCAATAAAATTTTCTCGTTGTGAAATATTCAATGTGAGCCTCATTCATTCGAATGTTGGCTTTGGGATAATACAGCATGCATAAATAACTCGTCTGTCTTAATTGAAAAGGTTTCAGAAAATTTGGACTTAGAAAAAAAAAAAAAAATCTAAAAGGACTTAGAAAAAAAAAATTATTTGAAAGAATTATAATCAGAAAATTTGGACTTAGAAAAAAAAAAATCTAAAAGGACTTAGAAAAAAAAAATTATTTGAAAGAATTATAATCAGAAAATTTGGACTTAGAAAAAAAAATTATTCGAGAGAATTATTTAATTAATCAATGAAATGAAATGATATTAATCGAATCAAAATTGTTTATACGACTTGATAAAATATGTGAAACCTTTACAACTAATCGAGACAAAAACAAATTTAGTTGACTTGAATAATATACAAATTATTAGAAAAAGCCATAAAAGAAATTCAATAAAATATGTAAAATAAAATAATGAAAAATGTTCGAAAACTTGAACATTAAAAACTTCAAAACTGTTTAAAGCTGATTGTTATCCTTTAGAAATTGAGTTAAATAATTTTTACAACTTGAATCGAATAATAAACTTGTTAACAAAATTATATTTTGTCTAATTATTCAAGTCAACTCTTTGAAACTTTGATTGCAAGTCTTGATCAAAATTGTTTTTAATAATAAAAGAATAAAAATCTATTATTTAGCCATGCAGCGATATAATTGAATAAATTTAAAATAAAATTACAGTAAAAGACTTTTACAAGCTGCATTTAATTAAGAATTTGGTAAGTCGTATTGAGTATTTGAAATAATTTGATCAAAACCAACAATCATGTTATCCATAAATAAGAATGTACATGCAGTCAATATCGCTACAGGGAAAACACATGATTCTTGATACTGGAAATGTAATTTAAAAAATTGTTTCCGAAGAATAATGAACAAGAGGTGTTACAAAATAAAAGATTTTTGTAACAAAGTAAATTTGTAATTTGTAATAAAATACCATCAATTTAGGAGTTACCTAAGGAAGAATGCTAGGGCCTCTTCAACAAATGAGTAATCGATGCTTACAAAAAGCTGTATTGGTTAACTAATAATTTGGTAACAAAAATTTAATATACATATAAGAATTCTGAATTCCACACAAAATCAATTCATAGTGTTATTTATAAAGCAAAAGAATCTCTGGTGGAATATTATTATGGAATTGTAATAATATAAATTACTTTCAATGTCTTTGATACATACGAGGTACCTAAGGAAGGATGCTAGGGCCCTTTCAACAAAGAAGTAATAAATTGCATACAAAAAGCTGTATTGATTGACTAATAATCTAATAACAAAAAAATTTCTGATAGACTATTATAAATATAAATAACTTTCAATTACTTTCAATGTCTGTCATACATGAAAGAAATATAAACTTTTTTCTTTTATATTGATTTTAAAGTTTCATAAAAGGCACTTGTATAAATAAATAAAAAAAACTGAATCAACATGTTTTCCCCATAGCAAATTAAATAAGAACGTAGTGTTTTACACATATGTCTGCCAAATTAATTTAAAATCATTTATTAGCATAATAGTTGTAGTTGAATAAACAAAAGATAAATTGTATTTTATACATTAAAAATAAATAAAGTGAACCTCATTAAAAATGATATTGACTCAAATATTATAATATAAACATTATTTTTAGCAGATATATGTATGTGACTATAATAATAATGCACGAGCCAGAAAATATTCCACTAAAATATATACAGACTGCTTTATAAATGATATCGGATAACAAAGCAACAATTTCTTGAAGCACATTCGAATTAATTTCATTTAATATGAAAAACAAGCATAAACTACATTACTTATTAATAAAAATGTAGTAATATTTCTTCATTTATTTCTATTGAAATTATAGTTTCACTAAAGATGGCAAACAATATTGTGTTGAAGTAAAGATTTTCAAAATCATATGACTGCTTTAAATTCAAAATTAGAAGATCTCAATGCATATATATATATATATATATATATATATATATATATATATATATATATATAGATAAGATAAATATTGATTATTTCAAACACTATAGGCACAACAGATATGATACGATAAATGCCTGTATATAATTCCAAAAATATATTCTTTGACTCGCTTTGTATAAAACATGCTTTGCACTTACATTGTTCGATATCCTCTATAGCAGCTCCCAGAACACTGAGCCATTACTCAGACCATCTCTAGAGGGTCTGCCACAAATCTCAAGTACTCGACACAAAATCACTACTTTAGAACCACTACATAACTTTGTTCGTTACATGTCTCTTCGACTTATTGCAACTATCGGAGTAAAGTCTTTACACAATACACGATACACGACTTATATTAGAGACTTTCGTGAATTTAGAATTCCATAATAAAGAGATATGTGGTAGAAGTACTAAAGTATAACCTACAAAAGCACATATATAAATTATACTATAGATAATTACATGTATATAAGTAAAGGATACATTGGCGCTGTAAATGAATTGTTTAATTATAAAATTGACTCAAAATGGAGGCCCTGAAAGAGATACTTATCAAACTATTGAAAGTACACCTAGGCACTTCTGCACATATCCATTTTTTGGCTTTTAATTAACGTTTCACGATAAACTTATTATATCAAATTGATCTACTAACTTAATTACATGTTTTGATGTATAAATTAATTAAATATAATCAAGGATTTAATTAAGAAAACGTTAATTAACGCGACAGCGTGTTAATTCATGAAAATTTCTTTGACAATTGAAACGACTGAAGTTAGAACCATGTGTCAAAATGTCTGTCGCCACTTAGGTGCATTTACTTATTTAATTTGTTGTGTCTTTTTAACCGTTTGTCCAAAATAAATGAAATATTTGGCAAATTTGTTCAAAATTAAATTATCTACAATATTTTCTAACATTACAAAACTCTAAAGGAACTCCGTATACTTTAAAAACTTAACTGAAAGCATAAAATCATTCTGAACTTTCTAAAAAAGTATCAATGAAGAAACTGAAGCATTTATTTATTGCAACTCTTATAACTTTTAAACCGTTTGTCTAACATAAATGAAATATTTGGTGCATATGCACAAAATTAAATTATCTATTCTTGTTTAAATAAAAAATGTATTATTCTTCAACTACAAAAATATTACAAAAACAAATAAAATAATAAATTAAATTGCAAAGTTCTTCTATCCAACACAGAGCAGCATTTATTTATTTATATTCAGGTTTTCCTTCGGAGTTCCATGTAGTTTTAACTTTTTTGAAGGCAAAAGTCATATATAAAGCTGGAAAAAATATATAAATACAATTATAATATATATATATATATATATATATATATATATAATTACTTACAAATAGCTTCCCATTCACTCTTAGACAAAGTACCAATTTTTTAAAACTTCTTCTCCCGATGTGTCTTCTCATAATGATTCTTTGCGTGCTCGTATTCACTCTCAGCCACACTCAAAGACGAGTTAGCAAATGCCGGATAAGTCTCCAAAGCTTGAATCTTCGTCAACATATAAGCTCCATTATTACTGGGTGAAACTCGTTCAAACAATTCTTCAAACGTTTCTTTAGACTCCAATTCCAAGCCGTATTTTTTAGCTAATTTAACTAAAGTTGGAAAATGTACTAAGAATTCAGGGCAATTCACAACGCCTTCAAGTTGAAATAAGTATTTTGCACCGAATAAAGGCACTTTATTAGAATCATCGAATTGGAATTCTATGTTGTACACTTCGTTGCCGAAACGGTGCCATGATTTCATTAGCGTTAGGAATAGTACCGATGAAGTATCCTCCAGTTCTGAGGCACTCAGAAGCATTTTGTAACATACGTTCGGCTTGTGGAAGTGTTTCGAAACAATAGTGGAACGCAAATCGGCAACTGACTAGATCTAGTGATACTAAGGTGCAATCACTAGCTATAAACTCGGCTGTGAATAGTTTAGGGAACCTGCTGTTGTCGTTTTTGGCTTTCAAGTCTTCGTAACGTGTCTTGCATTGGTCAACGGATACATCAGCGATGTCTGCACATATTAGGTGTGTTATTTTAGATTTTTGCCACTTGTACAAGTCACCACCTTTACCACAGCACATGTCTAAGACTCGTAAAGGTACACCTACTTTGTTGGAAGTGACTTTCTCGATGTACTGACTTATCAACATACTTTTGATCCAGTTATTGAAATTACGCATAAAATAAATACGTGATTTGGTCCTTGCATTCAAACCAATCTACGATTTGTAAACATTTGTACCAGAGTGGCGCTTAGACTGTTAATCCAAAATACAAAAATATTTTATAGAAAATAAAAGAAAGTTTTTTAGATAATTCAAATCGGACGCTTAGTTCACTCAAAAACTGCAATTTTTTGCACATTTAGCTCTGTATCTTCGAAATGGCGGGACCTGTCTTTGCCAAAAACTAATCACTTCTTCTCTCTATCATTACAAATTGAATGTTTTTTAGATCATTCAAATCCCATACTCCGTTCTCTCAAAAACTCGATTTGTATTTTCTGCACTCTTTGCCACGTATCTCCGTAACGGCTGGACCTGTTTTTGCCAAAAACTAATCAGCACATCTCCCTATCAATAGGGATCGTATGTTTTTTAAACCATTCAAATCGGTTGATCCGTGCGCCCGAAAACGTGGACGAAAAAAAACGGACATACACACACATTCATTTTTTCTGAGGTATGCTAAAATGTTCAGAACCCTTCAAAACGTCGAGAAATGCAAAAATTTTCATTTTCGATTTTTGGCCCATTACTATAACTACCCCACGGAAAGTTAAAAAAAACTACCGCCATGACTTGAATAAAAGAATAATACCAATTTGTTGCTATTATTGCGAATAAATAATTTTTCTATCATATACATTATTGCATGTAAGTAATCCATGTCGAGAGGGATGTTAGGAATATTTTGTATGTTTTATTTATATTAAAATACTTTTATTTCATTTGTGAAATTTTAACAAAATAAATTTATGTGCGTATTAAAGTTTACAAATTTTGATTTATTAATTAATCTTATATATATATATATATATTATATACTCGTATATATATATACATATATATCAGCGTTTGTTTCAAGCACACTGTGATCTTTATAATATAATATAATATGTGTTATGTTAAATTAATCGAGCGGTTTATTCAAAGGATAATTTTAATACATCTAATTACAAACTTTTAATTGAAATGTAAATTAATTAACTAGCACATGTTCTCCGTCAAGAAAGATGGCCGTTATTTATCAATGGCCGTCACGATAAATAAACATAACACAAACTTACATACAAATTCGAATCAATTTGTGATTTGAATAATTTCATAAATGACATGACAATTAAGTATGAAATTTCTTTATGAACACATAATTTCTTTAACAATATTTTGATATTCTGTGTAAGATGTTTTGGAATCTTCCAGCGCTTCCAAGCCTGTTGCATCATCCTAAAATAATTAATGTAAATTTGAATATTTTTATGTGACATAAGGTATAAAAGTAGCATAAAATCATATATTCAGTCATACTGGGAATAATAAGTTTCCTTTTCCTTTAAATGTACCAAAAAGTTTGAATAAATCAGGTCTTTCGGTGTACAGTTCGGCAGTCGAAATTAGAGCATGCTTGATTGCATCCACCTCATTTTCGGTTTTAGTGTTGCTCGTCATAACCTACGTAAATGCAAAAAGAATTATAAAATAGGCTTGAAACTCAATAATATATACATACTAAAGGGTATGGGCGTGTTTCCATACAGAATCGGCCCCACCCTGGTATTTAAATGGTTTTCATGCCATTTTAGAGGTCTTTTCGAAAAAATACAATATTAATTTTTAACTCCCTATTTTATTATTTGGCCGAGATATCAGTGAAAACATGTGAAGGTGGCCCTTTTTTTCAAAATCACTTTTTGTCGGAAATGCAAAAGGTATCGAAAAAATGTTAACGCCATTTTATTTACACTGATCTTGTCTATGTTTTTTTTTTTAAATCATATTTTTAACAGCAATCAGAACCTTACGTCCTATGAGCTGTTGGGCTGAAACTTCTCCTTACTTCGTATTTTTAGATGGTAAACCAATGGTTAATACATCCATATTTGATGATTTTTGTTATTAGAATTAATCTAATAGGGCTGACTTTTTATTGGTGCAGCAATCCCGGGCAAGGGCTATTTTCACTTGGAAACATATTGCTATCTATATTTCCAAGTGAAAATCGTTGTCACTGTGGCCTGACAACAGGCTGCTCGAAGTGGGTATCGAACCCGAGACCTCTGAAACAAGTCCCGTCGCTCTTAACCGCTTACCTAAGGGCTAGCCCTTGTCTATGTTGTACCGGCAGCGCGTGTACTAGTTTAAGTTTTTCCAAATCTTGACCACAAGTTCCACCTACATTTGAATGAATTTCTGAATAACAAAAGAAAAATGTACAGGCATTCGAATGATGCTAATTTAAAAATAGTCCATAGAGCCGCACTGGTAGGAAATGGAAAATGAAAATATATTTTCACGTTTTCATGCAGTAACGAATATTTTTTTCACATCGTTTGTTATGAATAGACAAGATCAGCGTGAATAGTATCATAATTTTTCGATCTCTCATATTTCCGACAAAAAGTGTGTCGGAAAAAGGGACCACTTTCACATGTTTTCAATAGTATCTCGGCCAAATGATGAGCTAGGGAGTTGAAAATTGGTATATCGTATTTTCTCAAAAATACCTATAAAATGACATCAAAATCATTTGAATACCGCCCATACCCTTTGATCTAAATTTTATCCTTTACGTACTTTACAATCTTTCTTGAATTTTGATATTATTTTAAAGGGAGTTCTTATTTACTCAAATTATGGAATTTTAAATTAAATTTTTTATTGTAATTTTTAAAATTTTGATGATTTTTTTTTGAATACTATTTTTTGAATACTATTTCATAATATAATAATATTTTGTTTATTCAAAAGTTTACTATTTGTTAAATTTAATCATAATTAAAGAAAATGCATAAACGCTAGTTTAACTATAAACTTTCTTATTGGTTCACGCTATTGTATTGAATTTGGGCTTCTAGTTTATCAAATTACTAGTTCTTAATTGTTCTCATGTTTTAGGCGAATTAACCAATATTTACCATATCTAGAGGAATTTTAACCAGGTGACATTCTTCAAATTGTTCCAATGATTTTCTACCGCCGTTTGGGCACAATAATTCATAATCTTCAGACTTAAATTTGTGAGCCCAATTTGGACCACTACCATCTGCAAATTAAAAATTTTAAATAAATTGTAAGGTTCTATTATTTTGGCGATTTATGCATGGTGTCCTCTTCTTTGTAACCTTTTTATTGATAAACGCAGATTGTCATGTAAATAATAAGTATATAAATATACTTTACTTGTATTGACAACATATGCTAATAAAATTTTAATAAAGTTTCATTTAAAATGCAGTTCAAACAACACATAATGAATAAAAATGATAAATTAAAGCATTTGTTGTACCTGTGTTTGCTTTAACTGTTACATGGGGAACAAAAGCTACATCTCCATGGCCTTCAGCCAAGCAACGGAAAGCACCATTATGACCAAAGTATTCCTCTGAAAAATCGGCCAAACATTTGTCTGGATTCTTGCAAGCGCTGCATAATTTACTAAAATCTTTTCCTACAAATAGTTTATATATATTATAAATTCGGAAATGTATATCTTAGATAATTGTTAACGTACCTTCGGATCTATTTAAAGAGCCAGGTAAACAACTGGCTTCGAAGAATTCAATTAAAGCACTTGCTCTAGGACAAGTTTCCTTTGATATTAATCCTTGTTTGAGTAGAACATGTACAGGAGCGATATAACCAGCTGGAGTGTAATCTCCGTGGCATGATCTGTGAAAATAAATGCAGTAAAATTATTTGTTCTGGATAAATGATAATTTTTAGATTAAATTTTTAGTATATATATATATATATATATATATATATATCTATTATATGTGTGTGTATCTATGTATATAATTACTTCTTTCCTCTAAGGTCAGCAAAAGATTGAATTGCGCTATCCTTGCGTACGACGGCTACTGCCCGGTATGATGATCCTTTGCCACCCCATTGGACACTCAAAATTGGGCGCAGGTTGAATTTGGATTTACCTTCCAATGCAAGTCCTGCTTGCAAAGTGATTACATCAGCTCCATTTTCACTGATCTGGTTGAAAATTACTTTTAAGGTATTTATACGTGTATATGACATACACTCATACATAAACATAATCTGTATATGTATTTTTTATTAGTAATGTTACACGTTTAGTATTGAAATATGTGACTGAAAATAGGAAAAAAATATATTATTGCTCATTTAAACCAAGAATATAATATAAAATCGCGAGAGATAATCATTGCGTGATGACCATCATTTAATATGGTATTTTAAAGAAATTCAAATATGTATCATAATGAACATTAATATGTTTTTTATCAATTTATTGAAAATTTCATGATATTAACGGAATGATTAGAAAATATATATGCTGTACTTTTTACCATAGGCCGCCTACTCTTAAGCGAGATTGAGATTCAACTCAAAGAGACCATATTTTTACAAGTAAGTACTCAAGTACTTGTAAAAATATGATAGCTTTGAATTGAATTTCAATGAAGGATAACGCTGGTGGTTTTTAAGTAATTCGAGGACGCTAATTTCGAAAACAGTAACAGAAATTTGCTAACAGCTCTAGTTTTTGAGATACGCCCAATACGCTAGTTTTACGTCAAATTACAATAAAAAATACAACACACTTCATATCATGCATTCAAAAGTCTTTTTATATGATTTTCGAGGCCTGACTGATTTCGTCATGAGCTCCAACATTTGTCAGCCATCATGTTGGTGTTCGACCTTCCTTGATATCGCTCTTCCAAAGTCCTGATATCTTGGCGGATACTCTCGCCCTGCGATTCGCTAATATCTGTAAGATTTTCAAAAATACAAGTGCGGGTAATGAATTAAAATCAATTACATCAAATACAGGTTTTAATTCTTTCCGTCTTTTCATTTAACATTGGTTTCTTTCTCCATTACATTGTATGCAGAAGATATTGATGTTCTAGGTTGTTCATCATTTGCATGAATAGGGTTCGTGTAGCTGATTGTAACTTACAATCAGCTGCACGAACTTACAATTTGTAAGTAGACCTCAATACTATTGGGTTTGTGGTTTATGACGATTTGCTTCTATTGTCTGAATTTATTTCATTGGTATTTACCACACAGAAGAGTCAATCGTCGTGGTGGTTGTGAAGTTTTTTATGAATGACGGGGGTATTAAAATTATAGCATTTTTTGAGCAATTTTTTCACATAGTATGAAGAATCTATGTATGCGCAATTCAGTTTCAAAGTAGTTAAAATACAAATTCCTTACGCAGTTTGACATAGATTGCCGGTATTTGGCGAAAGCATATTAACAACAGATGTAACAAAAACTATCTGGATTATGCACATAACTTGTAGTCAAAGCCATACCAAAAACATCAAATAAAGATGTTAGTTATTCGTTAACCAGCGATAATTCAAAGCCGAAATGGGTAATTCGGATAGTTTCCTAAAAAGTTTTAAATGGTATATTTAAAATCAGTGTGCAACTCTAAGTGTATTAAAAAAAAGATCGAGGAAAAAAATTAAAATATCATTTTTGTCGCACAGTGTAAAAAGTAGATTTTGATTAAAATCGACGTCTACAGAATAGTTTTTTAATAAATCAGTATAAAGAAATTGGTGCAAATTAGTATAATATTCAATACATTAAAAATATTTCTGTGCTCGCAACCTTTTGGGTCGGGGCATATTTATACCGTTTTCATGCATTCTCTTTCGGTCGCAGCTAGTACGCAATCATAGGCTGGTCTAATATCCCTGGAATATGCGCTCTTTCTTAGCTCTCTGCATTTTTTCAAAGCGATTTCAGAAGTTACACAGAACCTGATAAAAAATATAACTTTAAACACAAGTTAAAACAGTATACAATCCGTTTTAATTGATTACCTTATTGTTTGTCTGGGCGTTCCAACATCCCTTTCAATAACATCGACATATTTTGCTTTGGTCAAATATTCTTGTGGGCTTATTATATCATTGTCAGCTACTAATGTTTTGTTATTTAATAATAAAACTGATGCAAACCATTTAGGTGATTCTTCAGTGTCACCTGGAAAATCATAAAAAATTGATATTATTCTATTTTGAACATAGTGGGGGAGTCCTTTAGTAAAATGTCCATTAATCACATGATAATTTTTCAAGCATTTTTAATCCCTCACGGTTTTGGTGATATTTAAAATTATCCCCCACCTCCACTCAACGTCACGTGTGTTTTTAGAACAAATTTTTAGACATCTAGGTAAAAAATGAATTTACGTGCATGATGTTTAATATGAGCGTGGTTCGCTTTTGTTTGAAATTTTTAGTCTGCGCATATTATTCGTCATGTTCATTCGTTAGGTGAAAACGCACCTTTACTAGATCTCCCCTTCCCTACATAATTTTTGTCAAACATTTCCACCCTTTCAAATCTCACGTTATTAATGGGCTATCCCAATAGGAAATTAATATTGTTCTTTCTATACTAAAAGTCTTAATCAACCACGAACAGTTCTGGATTACAGAAGGGGCAGTCGTGGCTACTGCCCAGGGCGGCAAATTTTCGGGGGCGGCAAAATTTGGATAGTGAGAAAAAAATTCTATACCATATAACTTATTTTTTTAATAACATTTTTTATTTCAAGAAATATAATTAATTAAAAATTATATAAATGCGATGCAAAATTTGGCAATTTGGCTAATATAAGGATACTTAAATGAGTTGAAAGAAAATGAGTTAAGAAAAATACTAGTATGTATTTCAGATCTCGAGATCACTTCAGATCACTTCCAAGCTTATAGCGCCGAAAAAAATTAAATTAGTGAAGCATGGCATTGTGCCTTACGGCAAGTTACTGAAACTTTCCGTACTGAAAATTACATTTTATAAAAAGCTTTAAAATTGGTTGAAAAATGCTGAAAATTGAATTTAAGAAACCCTTTTTTATATTTCGATTTTTTTTTTGTAAATTATTAACTTTTATGTATTAAATTTATTAAAATTATATTTTATTTGAATGATTTGATTTCTATTGATAACGAGACGTGCTGATTAGTTATAGGCTAAGGTAGGTCCCAAAAATAATAATTCAGTTTTTGAAAAATGGAACGTCCAATATCATTAGAAGAAATTTACATGTATAGACAAAACGGAGAACTGATTAAATTTGTGGGAGGCAGGTCTAGCGGTTTCGATAATCCAATTAAAAAGAAACATTTGGCGGTCAAAAGTGATCATTAAACATATGCACATCAAATTATCATATATTTTAATAATAAGTGTAATTTTGTTTACATTTTACTATGGGTTCTGTATCATTATTTATTCGTTATCATGCGAGGCGACGCTTACACGCTTCTTTATTTTGTCTCTACGCATTTAAAGCAGGGCGATTGTTTTAAAAAAAGTTCTTTTTTCATTTTAATTTTTTATACGGGAAGTTCCAGCAATTTGCCTTAAGGCACGATGCCAAGCACCACTATTTATAGTATGTAATGCGTAATAAATTTTCTGCAATCAAATAGTAATTTTAATTTTAGAAAAATGATATATAAAAACTATTTTACCTAAAAATTCAGGGATGGGGCGGCATTTTTGTTAGTGCCCCAGGGCGCCAAATTTCTAAATCCGGCCCTGACCACGAATCTAAAAACAGTCTTAAGACCTTTACTTACCGAGGGCATCAAGTTCCTTCAATTTATTCCTGAGCTCTTGCACAGTAGCGTGCACGTCCGCGTTCGCAACGAATCCTTGCCAGGGCCTGGCCGCCCAGGAACAAGCTGGTCCGTCTATGTCTCTTTTGCTCCCATCGGGACACAAATAAGCGAATTTTGTATGATCTTCCACACTATGAGTGGCAGGTAATACTCCAACTGGCAACTTTGTTATGAAGATACAAAACATATTACAAGCACTCCTTAAAGAATTTAATAATTTATATACATATAGTTTAGGTTCTCACGTGGAGAAGTAGTTTCGTTAAGGTAAATTAATTGTATATTTTATTACTTTTTGCATTGTAGCTATTTTACAACAAGTATTTCAATGTAGTTAATCATTTCAAGCAATTGATAAATAAAACTAGTGGTGTATGGCATCGTGCTTTAACTTATAGAAATATTCGAGAAAAATTAAATGTTTTCAAATCGATTATTATAAATACTGTAACTCATATATGTTTACAGAAAACTTAATCAATCAAATTTAAAATAAAGAACATTGTTTAATATTCATAAGATGTATATAAACTGAATAGCAAATCTCTCGAAAACTGCCATTTTTTGCACATTTTGCTCGGTATCTCCGAAACGACTGAACCTGCCTTTGTCAAAAACTAATCACAATTTATCCTTGTGATTATAAATTGAATGTTTTTTGGATCATTCAAATTGGATGCTCCGTTCTTTCAAAAACTCAATTTCTATTTTCTGCACTTTTTGCTCCGGATCTCCGTAACGGCTGGACCTGCCTTTGCCAAAAACTAATCAGCACATCTCCCTATCAATAGAAATCGAATGTTTTTTGAACCATTCAAATCGGTTGATCCGTGCGCCCGAAAACGTGAACGAAAAAATGCAGACAAACAAAACACACACACACATCCATTTTTTCTGAGGTATGCCAAAATGTTCAGAAACCCTCAAAACGTGGAGAAATGCAAACATTTTCATTTTCGATTTTCGGCTCATTACTATAACTACCCTACAGGAAGTTAATAATTTTTTTATGACAATGTTAAATGTTAAATTTCTCTTCTTAAATTACTTTTGTTAGCTTACCGTAAGGTAGAAGTTATAGTAACCGCAAAAAATCGAAAATGAAAACTTTTCTATAACTTACAATTAGAAAAAATGAATGTACGTGTGCGTGTGTGTATCTGTGTGTGTGTATTCAAATACAAATTTTCGCCGACAATTTCGGGCACACAAATCAACCGATGTGAATAATTTAAAAAAAATCTATTCCTATTAATGGGGAGACGTGCTGATTATTTTTTGGCAAAGGCAGGTCTAGCCGTTCTAAAGATACGGGGCAAAAAGTGCCAAAAATGGTAATACAGTTTTTGAGAGAACGGAGCGTCCGATTTCAATGATTCAAATACATTTTACTTGTTTTGACGAAACGAAAAACTGATTAAATTTTTGAAAAGGCAAGTCCAGAGATTTTTGAAGATCCAATAAAAGAGTGAAAAAAAGCCATTTGGCGATCAAAAATGATAATTAGACATGTACCCATCAAGTGTTCAGTAATTTTTTAGAGATTTTAATAATAAGTACAAATTATAATTTGTAAACATTTTGTCTCTAAACAAGCTAGGCGATTGCTTTGAAAAAAAATGTTTAAAATTTTCAAAAATTTTCAAAATATAAAATAATTAAATTTTTTAAGAAAGTTAAAAATTTAAAAATTCTCAAAATCTAATTTTTTCAAAGTTTTCAAAAAATTTAAATGCTTTTCTTCTAATTCTAACTTTCGGTACGGGAAGTTTCAGCAATTTGCCTTAAGGCATGATGCCCTGCACCACGAGTTGTTACTTTACTTTTATGACCATAAAGATTTAATAAATCTTACCCCAAAGAATTTCCTGACGTAAATAACCTTTGTAAAAGCAACTTGTCCACCATTATGAGCTAAGCACCTCAAGGCACCATCATATCCTGAGTATAAATCTGGATAATCACATTTTTCTGGATGTTCACAGAGTTCGCATAAATTTGAATATGCCTTTTCTAGAAAGTAGAGAAAAATTAAAATTGAATACATTTGTTTGTTATTAAGGTGACAACAATATTGTATTTAACTACTTACTTAACTTAGCATCGATTGTTGGATCCGGTGACCATTGACCAACTATGCACGATTGCTTGAAAAGTCCGGAAAATGCTTTTAGTTCGTTTTCGCGTGGAGAAATTGTATTATCGTTTAGCGGACCTATCAAACCTAACTTTCTCAGCTTAGTTAAAGGTATCTATAATTGAAAATTTTATATTAAAATGAATAATATTTTTCTAATATTATTTATTTATATGAGTGCTTAGGTATAGAAATCTGAACTTATCAAGAAACTTCTAAAAAACATTTATTTCATTTCTTCTTTTTCGATTTTGCATGATTTTTTATTTATTTGACGTATTCAAACATATATTATATTAATTATGCATGAATCGATATTTTATTACGTCGGTCAAGTGTCTTCTTAACAACCTTCGTTGTCCTCGAATAAAAGTTTAAATGTTGTTACCCAATTTTTTCGTCTGGGAGATGAAATATATATTATCATATATGCATAAAAGCTTGATTTGCAAAAAACACAAAGAACCTTGAATATTATAGATGTTGTTAATGCATTCACATGTTTCTGTCTTATTTAATTCGAGTTTTATCATTGTTTATCATTACTCATTCAATACATTATTGCATTTGACTCATTGAATATTATAATATGTAATAATAACATATATATGTTTATTACATGAACATGGTGAATCAGATATGTATTTGCATTCATACTAAAAGTAAGATTTCGTTTTCAACGTTTCAACGTTTATTAAATGTTCACCGGGAATTATTTATTTTAACTTGCTTGAAAACTGAGCTGAGAAGCTGAGAATTATTTTTAGCAAAATAAAATTATTTGTATGCTTTATAATAGGGATGTAAAAATTAATAATCTTCAAGCAGAGTATTTAAATGCTACTGGATTCAAACGATAATTAAAAAAATGTGAAAAAAATATCAAATAAGTTATTAGAAATTACCTTGTATCCAACATTTCTTCCTATGCCAGTGTGGCAACTATTCAAACCTCGCAATCCAGTGATATTTGCTATATCAAGATTTTTATGAATTACAGCCACACCTTCATATCGAAATTCAGCTGAAAAACAAACATTATTTAAATACCAGTCAATGTAATTTCGAACTGTCTTTCAAAAATATTTTTAAAATATTGATGCCGGTTCAATGTTTTAACTGTATAATATTCGTGTGATTATCGCGATAAACTAATTAATTCAAATCAAAACTCAAATCGTCGATTTAGAATTCGTTTTTGTTAATCAAAGGAAATCAGTATTGCTAATAAAATTAATAACACAACAAGTTCAAAAGATCATCAAGGTTTGACCTTTTTGTTCATTTAATCATAATTATAATAAAGCATGTTATGAAAAAATAATTCTTATTGATAAAATTTTACAAATACCTTGTGGCTCATCTTTGGTTCTGATTTCTTTTATTACTTCGAAGTCTTGATTTGGTAAGTGATAAGCAACATACATATCTTCAGGATCAACAGCTGCAAAATCGGCTTGCCTTTCGATGATTTTGTCCAAACATTCGATTCTGTAATATATTTATTATAATTCAAGTACGATTGATTCTTTTAGTCAAATCGGTCAGTTTTTTAATACTCTGAAATATTCGTTATAAAAATGAAATCAAACTACGCGCTGATTTGCAAACAGGCGGATCGCGGGTAAAAATCTCCGTCACGAACAATTGTGATATCGAGCAGTAACGATATCAATTTTTACTTAGTAATATAGATCTTAAATATGTTTCCAAGTAATAATAGCTCTTCTCGGGCATTGCTACACCATATTGAATAATAAGTGAGCCCTATTAAATAAATTTTAATAATAAAAGCAATCAAATATGGATAGATCAACCGTTGGATTACCATCTAAAAATACGACTTAGGGAAAAGTTTCACACACACATATATATATATATATATATATATATATATATATATATATATATATATATATAGCTTATAGGATGTAATGTCCTGCTTGCTGTTAAAATATGATAAAAAAATTGTATTTCATTATACCTGTCCCGTCCCTCAATGCACTCAATTGTCGCCCCGTCCTGGGTTACGACTTGCGACATTTCTTGGCAAGCCCTGAAGGCTGTTTCAGGAACACACATTTTGTCTAAAAATTAAAATTTGTTGTTTAATATTAACTCATTAATCCTAGAACGGTATTGTGCTCTTTAGTGCGGCAATGGTATCTACACGCTTCCCAGAAGTAAGCCTTAATTATTGCATTTTACAACTTAACAAATGATTTTTTTTTTCGTTTTTTGTCATTGTATACTTTATTATATCATCAAAGGTTATTTGAGAAAATATAAAACTCTGGTTTAGTTTTTTTATTTTTACAAAATTTTCATAACAAAAGTACCATCACCATTCATTATTGTCTTGATGTACGCCTCGAAGGCGTGCATATACCGTTCTAGGGTTAAAATATTAAAAATTGAAATATCTCCCTTCCGCTTTTTTGCTCTTGGTTTATAATACAAAAAGGCAGAAGGGAGATATTTGACAACCTAATATTACTAATGTATTTTTTAAAATTTTCAACAATAATAAAAGGTAATTTTTTAACAATATTTCTTCAAATGTAGTTGAAGTCATTTACTAAAGTAGCATTTTAACATATTTGATTAGGGATCTATATTTTATAAAATATAAAAACAATATGGTGCAGGTCAAAAGTTTCATTTTTTTATTAAAAAAATCTTGTTGAATGAAATTATATAGCACACTTGGTTTTGCCGTCAAATTATATCTTGCACCTTGCTATAATTGTATAGTTAACCAAATTTGAGATGGTCATATATAAATAAGAGGGCATATCACCCATTGTTTCTAATATAATTCTAAATAAAAATACTAATAACTAAAATTAATGAATTAAAATAAGTATACATATTCATGCTAATTGATAATTTTAAACTTTTACTAAATGAAGAAACTGCTTTATCGACTATAAAACCATAAAAGTATGGTCTGGAAAATGCAGACTGAAAAATAATCTTTAAATAATAATTTAAAAATTGTTTTAAAATTTAGGTAAAAATTGTTGAAAACAATATACAGAAACAAAAATGTATTAATAAAATTAGAACTCAAAATTTCAAAATGTTAAGGATTGATATTTAGTACAAATTACAATATCAATACAAATTACAATATGATAGAAATAAATATTTCACAAGAATAAGATGTAATTAATTATAATTAGTACCGGCGGTTAGTAAATATCATTTTATTGTTTTTAAAATCCCATAAGTTATAGTATTCGCAAAAAATCGAAAATGTTAATTTTATATTACTGTTTAATCGTACCATTTATAATATTTTACCATAAGTCATGCGTAAGACTGTGATATTTTCTCTTTCAGCGCGTTTTTAAAGAAGTTCAAAATTTTCAAAAAGACCCCAAAAAAACTTTTTGAATTTTAAATTTTCAAAATTATAAATTACGGTACGGAAAGTTTCAGCAATTTAAGGCACGATCCCATGCACAACTATTTTTTTAAATGCTTAATAAAGTAATATAATTGAGTAAAGTATGTGCTTACATGTTTAATAAAAGTTTAAAAGATAGAAGTACTTACATGTATGTGTGGCAATAGAAAAAGGTATTAAAAGTACCGTGACTACAGTAGTCACACATGTTGAGGTAAACATGGTCTTAGCACTTCTTATTTTCCACCAACCTAGAAAATTATTTCATTTCACTTCCAATAAATAATTTCAATCATAATGTTATCAAATAATTTCAATAAAGCTCAAACGCTTAGAATTTATTAATTAATACTCTATGTATAAATATATAAATATTTCCAACAAATATTTCATTATTTTAATTTCGATTATTATAATTCCATTTAATACATACTATTGCAAATTTTTGTATTTCTCCACAAAATGACTGCGAAATACTGCTCAAATTGTTGACATCACCGTCTTCTTATACTCGTCGCAAAAAGATAATGTTATGGTTATTCACCGGCGACGATAAACTTGTCATTAATACTTGATGATATAATACAAGTCATATTTTTTATTAAAACAAAAACAAACTAGTAGGCTAATACTGCAGATTTGCAGAACTGCGGATTTAATTATTTTCGTAGTACAAAACATATATTTTTTTTAACTTATTCGTTAGGCGCTTGAATTAGAATAAATTGCTATTCAAAAACATTATAAATTATAATTATTTTATTATGAATGAATGATAATACATAGTTTTTCGACTCTATTAGAAATTGTGTTAATATATAAATATAATTAAAACTAATGAAAACTGATTCATTTTTAATATATAGATCTAATTCTATGATCAAAGTTTTTAACAAAATATGGACAAAAAAGTTTTTCTGTCATGATTTTATATAATTTAGTAAATATTTTATATAATATTCATGTTTAAATATTATCTCATCGATTACTACACATATTTTGAAATAAACATATTATTAATAAACAAAAGTTTTTCAATAAAGGCGAATCCTAGTTAAATATATATCGCTTGATTACAGAGTGTTTTAGTAGGGGTGATTTGTGATATTTTCAATTTATATTTAAAGTTAAAACTTTTTTCAAGAATAAGGTAAGTACAGTAGAATCTCGCTGATGCGACACTTTGATAGACCGACACCTCCAATAATCCGATACTCCCAGCTAGGAAATGCAATACCGGTATACCGGTATACCGAATCACCGGTAAACCGCCCGATTTTTCGGCAGTATTTTTACCGGTATTTACCCCTAAAATACAAACGTTTCAAAGTTTGAAAATACAATAGAAGCATAACATTGTTTTAAATAACAATACTCAACAATTATAGTAACTTATTATTTATCTCGACAAAGTATCCGATCTTAAATTAATATAGAAAAATTATTTTTTTTAAATATTGGAGATTATGCTAATTTAACACATCGGATACAGACAATACAGTTTATTGTAATAATGATATATGATGAGTTTTTAGTCTTTCTTACTCATAAGTTTGTTTTTGGTGAAAAATTCTCAATATACTCGATAGTGACAATGAATTAATTAAATTGGATATGATTTTGGTAAATTATTATTTTAAAAAATAAAGTATTTGTTTTATATTAATGTTTTTATTGTTTAGTTGAATATAGATGTAGTTGTATATACATTTTTTTATATTTGTGCTAGTAACTTTCAATTTTGTTTACGTTTGTTTAAGATAATAAAAATACCGGTAATTTACCGGTATTTCGGTTTTAAAATGAAAATTTACCGAAATACCGGTATTGAAATTTTCCATCGGTATTGCATTCCCTACTCGCAGCTATCGAAGCGCTGAACAATTCTTTGGGTCAGTTGGAAAATTTTTCGCCATTTCATTATGACTTTTTCACTATAATCCAGTAATCCGACAACTTTTGGTTTTTAAATTTCAGATTGGCGCGATTCTACTGTTTATATAAATAATTAGCATTTAAGGCGTTTAAGAAATGGATATACGATTTAATATTAAGGTTGCTGCAAATTTAAATATATACCTATTTGTTATTTTTACATAGAAATTTATTTTTAGTCTTATCCAATTGCTTCTTTCATTATTTAAAATGAAGGGAATACTAGTGGCTTTCTACTCACTATCATTTATTTGATAATCGAAATTTGGCTCATATACATACACATATAGTTTCTTCAATTTTGTCCAATGTCCTAAACGATTCAGGCAAAAACATTAACTTCTCCTTTGGCAAGTATAGGGATGAAACAATTTTTTTTCTACATGAAAAATATGATATCATATACTGAAAGTTCACACATTCAAAGATTTTTCTTTACATTTTTTGATTTGTAGTTTAGTATTCCATCTTGCATTATATATTTTGTTTTGTTTTATTTATTTTAAGGATATTAACCAATATTGCTTATCTGCAAATGGTATTCCCAGTTTTATTCAACTTCTCTTGTTAGTTAATCAGTTCCGAGAAATTTCCCATGTTTATGAAAAGATAAAATATTTACTTATGCATAATTGCAAACAGTCTAGCTTTTTACAAATAATAAAGTTGAACAAAAATTAATTTCTAATATATTTTCTTAATATTTAATAAGATATTAATTTAATAAAGCATCATTGGCAATGAAATAAATAATGGTGCAATCATTCAAATTATATTTTGTTATGTAGGAAAATTTAAAATAAAAATTGTAATATAATATTTAATTAAATCATAAATAAACATGTTTGAAGCCAATTGGTTTATAGCCAACTATGGGCGAACGGTCGGAAACGTTCATTACCACGTACCACATTTTTGTTTGTAACTTTTCAAAAATTTCATTAAAATTATATAAGCATTAAAATTATATTTGTATTTCATTGAGACTAATTTTGTTTTTGAATTTTAATACTATCGATCATACAGATTGATGTCAGCAATATTATAGTACCCGGTCCTCTGGGGTCGATGTCGGCCATAAGAAAAGTCAACTTTCCATGGCTCATCGCCTGTTTAGACCATGCAGGTTTATTTGTATTTACCATTTTTTACGTCTTTGTTAAAAAGGCATCTAACATAGTATACGTCCCTTTTGTGAGTTTTTTAGAAGTTGCTAATAAGCGGATAAAACTTTATTTAACACTCCAAAACAAGCTCTTAAACACTAAACTTATCATGGTGTGGATGTGTGGATAATTCAAAAATAAAATAGTGGTCAAAAACCTCTATACAAACACCACAAAAGTTTTTTTCGCTGTTTTTTTTTTTTAAATTACTACTATCAATAATTAACTTCCGTAGGGTAGTTATAGTAATGGGCCGAAAATCTAAAATGAAAAATTTTGCATTTCTCGACGTTTTGAAGGTTTCTGAACATTTTGGCATACCTCAGAAAAAATGTGTGTGTGTGTGTGTTTTGTATGTCCGCATTTTTTCGTCCACGTTTTCGGGCGCACGGATCAACCGATTTGAATGGTTCAAAAAACATTCGATTCCTATTGATGGGGAGATGTGCTGATTAGTTGGCCAGAATTAAAATCTCTCTCAAAAACTCGATTTCTATTTTCTGCACTCTTCGCTCTGTATCTCCGTAACGGTTCGACCTGCCTTTGCCAAAAACTAATCAGCACATCTCCCCATCAATAGGAATCGAATGTTTTTTGAACTATTCAAATCGGTTGATCCGTGCGCCCGAAAACGTGGACGAAAAATTGTATCCATACGTACACAGTCACACACACACATCCATTTTTTCTGAGAATAAGGTATGCCAAAATGTTCAAATTCCTTTAAAATGCGAAGAAATATAAACATTTTCAATTTCGATTTTCGGCCCATCACTATGACTACCCTACGGGAAGTTAAAAATGTTTAAAAAAAATCAAAATGTTCAAAATGTTAAGACAAATTGTCACATGCACCACTAGTTTAATATTATCTAAGGTCTAGGGGTTCTCATTTAAAAACATTCGATTGAAATACGTCGCCATCTTTGACTTATACAAGACGAAACATAAAATAGATGGAGCAAATCTTTGAAAAATATAACCAAGCTTTTACATGCAATTGAGCGTGCTGTATTAAATTGACCAAAAATTATGGCAGATTTAGATGTAAATGGTGATCCAGTTACCGAAGATGTTTCTGACAAATCACAAAAGAAAACTGCAAAACATGACAGTGGTGTTGCCGATTTAGAAAGAGTTACTGATTATGCAGAAGAAAAAGAAATTTCTTCACAGGACATTTCTGGGGTAAACTAACCTATAATCATTGGGATTTAATGCATCACTCCAATAATTACTATAAAATTTAATATTTAGGCTCTATCACTTTATGGAGATAGACAAAATAAAGATGCTGCCGCTAGATTGGCCAGAGAAAGAGAGTTACAAAAAATTGCTATAAAAAAGGAAGATGTGGATTTAATGGTATGTATTTTTTGACACACATAGATCAAAACCTGACTAGAAGCATTAAAAGTAATAAACTGCACCAATTAAAAAGCTATGATTAAAACTATTCGAAATCAGACGAACGTGAGGGATTTGCTTATATATAGACTTAATCAAATATCTTATATATAGACTTCAAAATTAATATAACTGTGTAAAACACAGTCGGCTTGTTCTGTTTCTTTATTCAATTTGATTGTTCGATGGTTCAATGGCCATCTATTAATTGCATTTTATTGTCTCTAAACAAAAACATTTTTTCAAGGTGAATGAAATGGAAATCACACGAACACTTGCTGAAAGAACTCTGCGAGAGCATGGTGGCAATGTAGTTGATGCATTGGTATCATTAACAAATTAATTTGTTAAATAAATATTGTGTTCTATACTGTATATATGATTTTAATTAAAATATGTATAAGAATAAAGTCTACTTTATTAAAAATTTACATTGTCAGAAAAGTAAATATGTACTAATATTGAAATAATCATAAACTTTGAGTCAAACTCAAAGGTTGTCTAATCTTAATTTGCCATCATTTTCAGTTAAATACATCAAGTCGGCCATGGTTTGCTCACTTATTGCTTCTTCAGCTTTTTCTGACATCTGTAACAATTTTACACTTAATTTCATAATATTTATTTATTCTATTATCTCAATCGAAGAAAGTATAGTAACTATAAATAATATAGTAATTGCCTGATCGATATAAAAAATGTATAATAAGCAAATAATTTGAAAATGATGCACTGTATAAAATTCAACATAAATTAGCAATTATTTTTTGTTGTATTAAGTCAATAATTATACATACTGGTCTGTAATCATAATCCGTTGTTGGAGTTGCTTTAAAATTTGGACCAAAATTTACACTGACAGTCACATTTTTGAATAATGACAATGTTGGAAAATAACAACCTCCATATATATGGTTAAAAGCTTCTCCTTGGTTGACCCCATTCTTGAAAAAATATATATGGGTATCTTCTAATGGTTTCAATAGTTTTAAAGACTCTGCTATTTTATCTTTATCTTCATAATATAAATGACTTTTGAATTTAACAAGAGGCTAAAATATAAATATATAAAAATGAAGTTAGCAATTAAATTATTCTCATAACAAATATAATAAATAATCCAGCATGTACTCTATCTTTGTAAGTATTTGGTGTATGATTAACATCACGAGTATCTGGCAATATAATCATAAATCCTAACACATCTCCTTCTCCATAGCCCTCACTGTAACGTGAACCAATTGATTCATGGAATCTGTGAAGAAACAGTTTTAGTAATTCTAAAAAAAAAATTTGTTTAAAATTTTGTTGTACCTTGTTCCTTTTCGTGATCTCCAGCTGTATCCAAATTTGTCATAACCCAAAGGTGCTTGCAAGTTTGCTAATTCTTGACCCCATCCAAGTCGAACAGCCGCACCCTCAGGTAATTCTTCAATAGTAGCTTCCCAATACCAACATCCACGAGTGACCCCTAATTAAAAATAAATTTAATGATATATATGGACATAAAACTCATAATGCTGTTTCCGAATTACATTTCAAAGTTTGCATATAATAAAGAATATTTTTTATGAGGTTTATTAACTGTTACCATAAGATATTTAAGACAATTCTTTTGAAAATCCATGTTAATATAATTTTTATAAAAATTTCTATATAACTTATATTTAGCTAATCTAATTTTTTTTTCACAAAAGATGAACTGTTCTTACCATGAGTGGCTCTCACCATGCAGTAACCTTTATCACCTGTTGCAGCTAATCTGTCTTCAGATATTTTTATTTGTGGTGCCCGATCATGTAGTGTTAAGAGAACATTAGCCGGAATCAATGCTCTATATAACCATCCAGGAATTGGTTTTCCGGCCCAATCTGAGCTTTCATCAAATTCCTGTATTTAAGTAAAATGTGAGTATTATGTATTTTATATTGTAAAACATACTTTAAAAAAGCATGTTAGTATACTAAAAACTTAGAAAACATCTATTTTTGGTTATATATTATATAAGGGACTTTTAATATCAAAATTTGCAATGAATAATTCTTTAGCTTTCAAGATGCTAGTATATTTGATTGAATTGTTCGCAACAAAATCAATGGGTAAATATATAAACTTATATAATATATAACCATCATTAGATTTTTTAAAATTATATAACTCGATTACATTGATTATAATCGATGTAAAAGAAATAAATGAATCTTCAATATTCATAAGAGTTTGTCATAGTCTTAAATTAAATCCTTGCCTGTCGGAATGGCGCATGTGGGTCAGGTTCAGCTAATATATATCTGTATCCATCCTTATTATACGGGTGTTCCAATGGATAACCATGCGCTGGCAACTTAGGAACTACTTCACTGCCACCCCGTCCTTTTTTTATAGTTGTTGTATCTCCAGGTAGTCGCCTTTTATTGTTCCTACCTCCTTTGAGAGCATTTTGCATGGGAACTGAAATAATAATTTTGATGCAATTAGTAAGTCAATATTAATAAAAGCTATTGAAAAATAGATAAAAAACATTTTTATAACATCTTAATCACATATTGATAAGTCTTATATTAATAGATAATACTTTAAAATTAATAAATTTACTTTCATCATCTTCCATTTTGCTTGATTGAGGTGTGAATCAGAACTGAAGCCTATGGTCATGTTGAAAGAATTTTATTATTGAAAGCTACAAACATTGTTTATAAACAAAAGCGATTAACACGAATGAAATTTTGTGCTGGTATCATATTTCTATAGCAAGTTCACCTTTATCATTTGGCAGTTAATTGTCAGTAGCATTATGTGTTAAATGAAGTATTAGGTTTCATAAATGTTTTATCAGTTTTTGAAAATAAATTTAATGAAACATGCTTTAGTAGGATTGAATTATACAATACTATTTTATAAATTATTTAAAAAATATGTTAGATTTAAAACAAAATAATTCAAAATTTTTTTTTCTATGTTCTTATTAATATAGTAATAATATTAATAATAATGCAGTATTTGCTAATTTGAAAATTAATATTCAATATACTATTTTAAATGTAATCTATATCCACATTACATTTTAATTAGGATATTGCATTTTAATTTTCCAATTAGCACATACTGCATTATTATTATCATTATTACTATATTAACAAAAATATTGAAAAAAAAAACTTTTTTCCCCTTGGATGAAAATGGGTATATACATAAAATATTTTATAAACCCTGGTATATAAGTGCTTATTAAAAATCTGTTAACTTACCATGAGTTATACCCATATCAGTAACCTTTAACAAGCCTCCTTTAATCATAGCTTCGTAATTGGGTTTAACATTTGTAAGATCTTTTGAAAGTAGGCCGAACATTGTTCCTTCTACAGCGTTTTCTTCATTATTAAATAAAACATGTGTGTCCTTGATCAAAGCCTTTTGCACAGTGGCATACCACGATTGTGTTACACGTCTAGGCATTGTTGTCATTGCTTCCCAATGTTGATCAATAAATGGAATGATTTCTCTATCTTTACTGAACATAAACTTATTTTGGCCATCTTTTGCAGACGCCTGCTGCAAATTGGCAAGTGCTGTAACGCACATCTGTGGAATTACTGAAAAGAATTTACATAATTGTAATTCTTGAAATTTGAAATATTATTTTGAAAAAACGTACATGCTTGATTTTTTTTGAAACTTTCCAATCCGGTTGGAGAACAGTTCTTGCATAAGAAAAAATAATTTGTCATGAAGGGAACAAGCTTTCCTAACTGGTAACCGATGCATGACTCATGGTACCATCGAGAACATGAAGCACAGAGTAATTCAACAATATTCAAATTTCTTTCCTTACCGCTATAAATAAAAATACATTGAAGTTCTTAAAATACACTGTTAATTCATCAAATCATACCAGTAACAATTGCCAGTTGGTTTGGTTTGTTTGTTTTCTGCTTTCAATTCCTTCTTCGTGTTATCATTTGATTTGCTTTTCGTATCTTTACTATTATCCGTTGTTTTCTCCATTTTTGCATTAATGAATGCGTCAAAATATTCATCAATTAGTTAAATAAAAAATAATATATATAAACGTAAACAAATAAGGTAAAATTCAAAATAACCTTAAAAACTTCTCATTTGTGGTGTCATCTTTGAAGAAAAACATAGCACATGGATTGCGCGCCATTTGCACAGAGTTTTTTGACAGATGTCGCTATAAAGATTTCAAAAAGACGCTCCGAGCGTGACTGCAGCGCCCTTGCAGCGCCGTAATAAATATGAACTAATTGGGGTTATCAGTGTGTGGTTTTCATGGGTTTTACATGTTTGTTAAAGAAAAAAGATATTAAATAATTGTTATAAATAATAATAAACAAGATACAGTAATAATGTGAACGCTGAATGTTTATTGAAATTATTAAATTTACTTCAACGTACTTAAAACATTGTTAAGTATAATGATTAATTAAATAAAGAAATGCAGTAAATATTTGTAAGGTTAAGTGCCTCAAAGCTTATGTCATAAACTCGGAATAGTTCTTAATAAAAACAATATAATAATATGATAATAATGATAAATAATATTTTATCAATAGAATAAGTAAATAGTAAATTAATTTATTCAATTTTTTGGTCAAACTAAAGACTTAGACATTATTATAAAGACATAATTTAGACATTATTATAAAGACAAGACCCATCAAATAAACTTGCAGGAAAAAAACTACATTAACTTTTCGAAATTAACTTATTGAAGAAAATATTGTTGACAAGTAGGTAGGACTCAATACCTCGACCGATTAACTGCAAATGCTTGGGAACCCACGGTGATCCATCAACACTACAAATATATATTTTGCATTATTTCAGCTTTGTATGAATTAAACTGTTTGCAAAATAAACATTTTTTCGCTATGTGATAACTTTTATTTTTCTTTTAATCATAAAATTACAATTATTATATAATAAAATGTAATTAATATATAGATAATAGTTATACATAATCAATATACAATATATAAATATGTATTTTTCATTATTTCAGGCTTGTATTAATTACATTGTTTTACAAAACAATTTTTTTAGTAAGCATTAAATTTTGATAATACAACAATTTATTGACTTATAATTTTTCTTTTTGCTAAACATAACAATTTTACAACTATTCATAATACTCCGAATTGTATTTTTATAACAATAAGGTTATGATACTTACTTTATTCTTCTAACCGCTGCGATCCACTTTTCCCGTTGATTTTCTTTCCACTTAGCTGTAAAAATGTATAGAATTTGCAGTCACTTTTTCTGCTGGTATTTCTACAGCCCACTACAGAACAGCTATGGTGGCTCATTTTTAATTATCTCATTTAAATTTGAAATAAATAAATATTTTATGTGTTTTTGTTTAAAATTTTGTTTATAATAGCCCCTTTTAGTGCTCCAAGTTAGCCACTACGAACGCTTCGGTCGATTTGACTTCCCCTTCCATGCCTTCGCACATAGCCATATTGGTCATATTGGTCGATATAATGAATAAATATATACATACTGTGATAAAAGAAGAGTATAAATAAATAAATAAATAAATATATATATATATATATATATATATATATATATATATAATGTACATATTGTACATATTATAATTATTTATTTATTTTTGTTAGAAAGGTTTGATACAGTTATGGTATGTTGTAAAAGTGAAATTTTTATAGTTATGGCTGCATTCATTATAGTACATCTTCAATAACGAGTAAAAATCTTGCTGAATAACGAGTAAAATCTTACTGAAATCAAAAATCTTAATTTTTATACTCAAGGATTTGAACAGAAAGAGCCACCAATAATACTTGCAATATATTATTATATTTATTTATTTCAGCCTAATGGCCTAGAAATACATCATTGTCTTAAGTCACAATAATACCTTAAACCTACTTTATTTACAAAAAATAAATTGAAAAGTCTAATCAGGGGGATCTAATAACTATAACGTTCTGGACTGGTTGCCCAAGTAACTCTTTTTCCTTTGCTTTCTTCATGCGGTTGATTGTTTTCAACCAGCCTAGACTTTCCTTACATTTTTGCCACAGAGAACGTCTTCTATAGAAATGCATATTTGCAATATATATTTTGCAGTTTGAAAGCAAAAATACATTTTATTAAATAGTGTGTATTGTTTACTTCATGAGAACTAGAACAAACTTAAACAAAGCAGGTGTATTAAATGTTAACTATTAAAAATTTATTATTGTCACATCGTTTGGAATGAAAAGAAGTTTAATTGAAAAGTTGATTTAAAAATGCGGAATGAGAGGATCGGGAAGATGTTATTGTCAGTGACGTGCTCGCCGTGACGTATTCGTAGCAAGGACGCTCAAGGCCGCGCATCGTAGTTCTACGATTGACACATATCTCGTTGCTCGTTGTATTCATTTGATCGTCGAGGGGGGTCGAGGGGGGGTCGAGGGCACATGCGCAGTGTCGCATTCGTCCGATATCGACCGTCGTTGCGCGGCGGTAGTGTCGTACGGTCGCTGTAGCACCAAGCAGCGTCGTGCCGCCGAGTCTCGTCAGTGCAGCGAGCCCGGTCTAGCGAGGCAGTTAGATCTGTGCGATCTGCGTGCGTGCGTGCGTGCGTTGTGTGCACGAGCGTCGAGCGCGCGCGCGCTCTACGTGTGCGTCGTGCGTCGTGCGTCGTGCGATCAGTTCCAGCAGTGCAGTAGCCCGTGCTGCGTTGGTTGTCGTCTGTTTGTTTGTTGTTGTTGTGGTGGTGGCTGTGCGTGGTGTGATGCCGCCATTATCGGCAGCCGATCGTAACAACGGGCATCGCGTGACGGAAGAGCGCGCGACGCGGTGAGTGTCCGTGGCGACCGGTGACCGATGGTGTCCTGCGTCGATGGCGCGGACGGCGTCAGCGCGTCGCCGGCCGACGTCGTCGTCACCGGCGCCGCCGACGACGGTGGTGACGGGGCCGGCGACGCAGATGATTGCCTGCGCGTGCGCAAGTGGTGGTGCTTCGTGCTCTCGAGTATCGTCACGTTCGTCGCTGGTCTTCTGGTGGTGCTGCTGTGGCGCGTATTTGCGTTTCTATGCTGCCGTAAGGAGCCCGAGTTGGCCCCCAATGACCCCAAACAAAAGGAGCAGAAGGCGGCAGCGCGACAAGGAAAGCAAGATTTCGAAGGGACCTTCATGACCGAAGCGAAAGATTGGGCGGGCGAATTGATATCTGGACAAACTACCACCGGACGAATCTTGGTGAGAACTGATGCAGAGATTACGTCTTTGATGATTTATTATTATTATATTTTGTAATCGTCCCAATATATTTTTCCTAAACTTTTGTTATTTAAAACTATTTATTCAATGATCCGCTATGGGCCGTCCGTGGTCCCGTGGTAAGAACGTGGGCCAGCAAATCCTAGTCCCGGGTTCGAATCCAACCTCGGTCGGTTTGGTATCAAAGCAGCTTGATACCAAATTTTCACTTGAAATCATAGATTTCAAATATGATTTCAAGTGAAAATGGCCTTTCGTGGGCATAGCTGTAGTGGGAACATGCCACTTGGAAGTAAAATCATCACTATTACAACAATTGTAATAATAAAAATTCAGCACATAGAGATGAGACAACTGTTTGGGTTGCCATCTATAATAAAAACAAGCGTAGTTTGTAAGAGATTCATCACAACAGCTCATAGAATCCATAAGTTCTGATCGCTGTTCAAATAAAAATCAAAAAAAAAAAAAATGATCCGCTATTTTAAAGATAATAATACACCAATAATATATTTTGTTATGGTTTGTAACAAGTTTGATATTTTTTACACTATGCCATCCGGCGACACCACATTGCCATCGTTCTTGGCCAGTGGCAGCAATCTTTCCATTATGATGGTGTTTTGTTTAGGTAACAATGAGTCATACTCGCCAACATAATTAAGACTTAAAAATTTATAATTTTGCAAATACAAATCAGAACGGTCGGCGACAAGCCAAGTAATAGGTATTAGCAATACAGGCGCCGAGTGAATAAATTTTTACGAGACGTGCGGATGGCAAAGTGACTTTAATGAACAGATAAGTACTATAAAAATAGTGCCACAATTTCTGATTACTTTTTACTAATTTTAATTAGATGGTTTTTAATAATTTGTGGGATTTTGTTCAAATATCACGTAAATGAAAACTATTTTACACTTCTTAAGTCAATATTTTATTATTTGAATTACAATTCTATTAAGAAAATGTATTTCTATACATGCCTTTCACTCAATCTGTATTACAAAAATTCATGAAAGATTATCCTGTTCGGTTGCATATTTCCTGACAAAACCAAACACAAAGATTCTATTCCGTAACGTACAACAAATTCTATTTCTGTACAGTACATAGTTTTTGATTGATATTTTGAATTAAAAATAAATTCATATCAGATAAATTGAAGATGTCCATTCTTATTTCAGTAACTTATTTGAATTGAATAGATAAAATTTAATAAACATTCTACTGTAAAATGTAATGATACAATATTGCATCATTGAATATTAATCTACTCCAATTATCAAATATACATTAGATTAACATTTCATATGTTAGAACATTTTATTAAATATTAGTTAATACATAATAAAAGTAGCTGATGAATATCAAGATCTGAGCCGTCAATTCTACAATTCGATTTATTAACTTGGGGCAACTTTGCTCCAATTATGTTCGTCGCATACGATTCCTTCAGTAAGCCCCAGACTTACATACCAATTACGCCGAGGGAATTATTTCAGGGAATAAATTATACATATAAATGATGCAGGTTTAGTTTCCCACATATCCTGAGTAAATTACGTCCTTAAATTCATATTTAGAAATGTATTTGTTAATGTTATATACAATATAATGTATAAGGCCAGGTTTCGAAAACCTAAAATAGTTTAAATTTAAAATTATCTTATTGTTGGATTTGATCTTATCATACAGAACATGTTTCTGACGAATAGAACATGCTCGCTGTGTGAAATAAGATATAACTACATAGTACATGAAAACTGTTTTATAAAATATAAAAAATGGCATAGTTATTCCTCTAGCCTACTTTTTGCCAAAATTAATATTATAATTATTTATTATTTTACTAATTATAAGTTCACGAATTTATCTAATTCCATCACATTTCCTACAATCAATTTGTTTAGTATATCTCAGTTTATTTTTTGAGTTTAAGAAAGTTGTTGATAAAAAGTATATTCGTATTGTATTATTAGACTGGTAATTCTGTATTTATTATATTTAATTGCAGGCATATAATAGTCATATTACATTCGTGATAAAATGCGTTCATCGTTCAGTTATGTATTTCTGTCACAACGCGTAGTTTTTCTGTTGATTTGATATTTTTTAAATCATTTATCTAAAAAGGGTATTCAAATTTAATCATTTCAATTTGAAAGTTCATAATTTTATTCAATATATAAATGAATTTATTTTGATTATATTCATATTAGTTATTTTTATAAATCGCGGTGTGCATTCAAGATCTGCATAAAAAAGAAGTTATTGACCTCATGACACTACAGTGACGTTATTTCAATGATTTGGTTTATTGATTTGATAGAAACAATATTTAAGCATCTTTATAAGTTATCTGTCTCAGTTTTTTTTTTTGAAACTTACTTTTAAATATTTTATGGCAGAACTACAAAGTTCTTGTTTTCTTACATTCATACCATAGTTCCAAAATTTTATTGCTACACATTGTTAGTTAATTTATGGATGACAAATATAATTGGATTCTATTGAATCATTTTACAGGATATATGTTCTTGTTTTCTATTAAATCTTCTACAATTTTTTCCTATCTTTTTGGTTTATTAATGTGATGTTGTAGAGTCATTCCATTGCGCAAGTCAAACAATTCTGTACGAACCAGATCGTTACGCCCTCCAGCCCAGAGCTCCCGGGAAGATACCAAAACGCTACAAGTTCGTTTGCTTCCAAATGCCTGTTATTTTATGGCAACATTTCTAATACTATAAAAATATTGCTTTATTAAACCCATTGAATAAAAATTTTAAATGTCGCTTTTTTGTTATTTAATGATAGTTAAATAACAAAATTTACAATAAACAAATTTTTTATATGCATATTTTTTATATTTTTTAAAATACATTGGTCGTAATATGCACTCATAACATTTAATATATTTCAATATAATCCTTATAGAATAAATTAAAAATAATATCTGGTTTGGATACTTCGGTTAACATTAATTTTTCCAAGTCGACTTATAAGTAGAAGCCATCGATTCTACACAAAAGTACCCGATCGCTCCACCGCATTTGGAATTACAGAGCGATAGTACGATTTCACGTACGAACGCAGCACACACACACACACACATAAATATATATATATATATATATATATATAAATATATATATACAGATATATATGACGATAGAAAAAATATATTGAATATTAGAAATAAAAAACTTGAGTTAGATAGGTCAGCAAAAATTTACTTCATTATTTCATACTTTTACTTCATAGTAATGTTATTATTGATTTTTTTAAAACTTTTCAAATTTGTGAAATTTGAATAAAATTAATATCATTCCCAGATGATATTCTTTATTTTTAACACATCGATCTGTACCTATCATATATTTTTCCGAAAATAGGAAAAGTTTTCACTTGATACACAAACTAAAAAAAACTACATTTATATTGCACAGTTTGCATTTTAACTTTATAATTTGGACTGTAATTAATACATGTATATTAATAAACGTTCTGTGCAGTATATTACATTGATTTGATTTTTATACATAAAATTTTATATGTTCGATACTACTGAATATAAATGCTATTCAATAACACAATAAAACTTTTCTGTAAGAACTAGTAATTGACAACGATATAAGCAAAGTAGTGAAATCAAAATTGTAAATTTTTTTTTTACTTATTGGTTTATCAGCCCTAATTGAAAAGTTAAGGGTATATACGTGTATACTTATATATATGAAGTAATAAACCGCATAAATAAATTATTTAAGATAGATCGAATAAAATACGAAAATGATTGATTATCTTATTTAGTGAAAAAAAACTTTAGTGCACTTTCTCTGTAGCTTTACAATTAGTAATTATCAGCCCTAATAACAACCAATCGATATTTATTATATTGCAATTAATTGTATAGGATATTATATATTCTCGCTGTGACAAATTCTCATTTGTGTGCAAGTTGGCATTGCCAATAATTAGCAATCGGCCCCACGCTGATTGGAATGAGATTTCACAAAGTGTCTCTGTCGATGTACAACAGCTGACGTTTATTTCCGTCCGTGTGACGCCGCCGAATACTAATGTCCTAATATATATATTTATTGATGCTCCGTACCGCACAATCTAGTATATATTATATATACTATACATATAATTGGAGATTACGATCTTTATCATCAATGCCGAGTTGAATAAATGAAACAAATACAGTAGTGCCTCGCATAACGTACCTATAATACTTAATTTGATGCGTGCGCGAGTTCGTTACGTGAAACGCATTTTTTATAGTAATACATATCAATAAAAATGATTTGTTATCTGGTATGAAACATGTTTTTTTAAAATAAAATTTATCGTACATATAGGTAAAATATTACAAATATTACTTTTGTACGAAATAAGTTAAACATCAGTTACATGTATTTATATTCATCTATTTCATTTATATTTTTATTGAATTATTAATCGCGGATCTATAATCAAATAATTATAAAATAATGCTGACTGTTATAAACATTTCGAGACTACAATTTGTTTCATAATTAGTGTCTAATTCTAATTAATGTTATTTAGTATTCAGTCGTAGAATGGGGCTTAAAGCTCTGCGAATAAAAACATCTCCGAACGATATCTCAAAAACAAGTTAAGAATTGTTTATCAACAATATTTGAAAGTAGAAGGCAAAAGATGTATTTACCAGCTATACCAGTTTTACCACGTCGCTATCAGAAGATAAACACAATGTTAGAATAACTATAACAAAAGTATTTTCTCTCATTGTTAGTTTTTTTTTACTTTGAGCACTATTGTTTAATTAATGGGACCTTCATATGTTTTTCAAGTTTACGATATTTGTTTCATAAGATGTATGAATTCTCTACGATTATGACTTTCTACAATATTAGCTGGGAGTTTTACTGAATATAGTCAGATAGTTGTTTGCTTGATAGGCAATATTTGTTGTAATATAATTG